AGGGATTGGATCCAAATCATTGGCCCGCTCTTGGGCGAGAGCGCCATTGTGAACGACGGGATCACAACGCCGATACGAAAATGAGGCCCACGCTACAGCGGGGGGGGTGTCAATGATGATAGTGCTGGCGATGATTGATGATGATGATGAAAGTGGAGAGGAGGATTCTGACGACGGTGATGGTGACGGTGGTGATGAAGCGTATGGCGGTGTTAGTTATGATGCCGATGACGCTGTTGATGACGATGGAGATGGTGATGGGAGTGATGATGATGCTGATGATGATGTTGATGATGAGGATGCTGATGCTGTTGATGATGCTGCTGCTGATGATGATGGCTATGCTGCTGCTGCTGATGATGATGATGGTGTTGATGATGGTGGTGGTGATAATCAAGATGATGATGTTGCTGATGATGATGCTGATGATGATGATGTTGTTGGTGGTGATGGTGATGACGATGATGATGACGATGGTGATGTTGTTGATGATGATGATGATGATGATGATGATGATGATGATGATGATGATTGTAATGGTTGTGGAGATGACGACGATGGTGATGTTAATGGCGACGGCAGCTATGATGAAATGTTGTCATGGTGGTGTTCAGGAGGACGGGGTAGGGGGTGCAGAGTTGGTGGATGAGGGGAAGGGGCAAAGACGAGACCAGCGGGGGATCATTGATGTCGGGGAGCTTGGGAGGCAGATGAGGAGGATGAGTCGGAGGAGGCAGAGAAGGTGGAGGAGGAGGAGGAGGAGGAGGAGGATGAGGAGGCCGAGATGGAGGGAGGGAGGGAGGGAGGGAGGAAGGAGGGCGCAGGACGGAGGGGGAGAATTCTAGTACAGATGAGGATGATGTTCAAGAGGATGCAAGGGGAGGGGAGGATGTTGGAAGTGAAGAGGATGATGACGAATATCCAGCTGCCCGCGGCAAGTCCCACCACTGTGCCAGCCCAGTATTCTGGGTGGCGACGTTTCGAGGGTGGGATGGCAGTGATGATGATGATGATGATGCTGCTGATGATGATGATGATGATGATGATGATGATGATGATGATGATGATGTTGACGATGATGATGATGATGGTGGTGGTGGTGGTGGTGATCGTGAGGATGGTGTTTGACAGTGTGATGTTGGTGTTGATGATGATGATGTTAGAGTTATTGTTGTCCTCGTTATCGTTTTTGGTGTTGTTGATGTTGTCGTCGTCGTCGTTGTTCGTTAGTGTTGTTGTTGCTGTTGTTGTTATTGTCGTTGTTGTTGTCGTTGTCGTTGTCGTTGCTGTTAGTATGGTTGTCGTTGCAGTTGTCGTCGCCGTGGTTATTGTTGTTGTTGCCGCTGCTATGGTTGTTCTTAGTGTTGTTGTTGTTGTTGTTGTTGTTGTTGTTGTTGTTGTTGTTGTCGTCGTCGTCGTCGTCGTCGTCGTCGTCGTCGTCGTCGTCGTCGTCGTCGTCGTCGTTGTTGTTGTTGTTGTTGTTGTTGTTGTTGTTGTTGTTGTTGTTGTTGTTGTAATTGTTGTAATTGTTGTAGTTCTTGTCTTTTGTTGGACCCTCACGATTCAAGAATAATTATTGTTGGTCCCCCCTCCTGTGACCATGGTGTTTTTTCAATTGAACTGTTTCCCACGGGGCTCGCACCCGGTTATTTATCATGGAAAGTCACTCGACTCAATTTGCGTTCACAATTTTGTCATCTCCCCCGCTCCCCCCTGCGACTTCCTCGCATATTACTCAGGAGTCGCGCTCTCGGTTGGGACTTCCTTGCAATTTATTCAGGAATCGCTCTCTCGGCGCTCTGGAGTCGGGCTCTCGCTGGAGATTTGCTTGCAATTAATTAAGAATTGCGCTCTTGCGTTGGATTCCCCGCAATTTCCTCAAGCGCCGCGCCCCCGACACTCAGGCACCCAGGAGTCGCGCTCACGCTTAGGACTCCCTCACAGCTTACTTCGGAATCGGGATCTCGCTGCCCTTCGTGGCCCCGTTGCAGCCGTTCGTGGCCTCCTCGCTGCCCGCCGTGGCCCCGTTGCAGCCCTTCGTGGCCCCCGCGCTGCCCTTCGTGGCCCCGTTGCAGCCCTTTGTGGCTCCCTCGCTGCCCTTCGTGGCCCCGTTGCAGCCCTTCGTGGCTCCCTCGCTGCCCTTCGTGGCCCCGTTGAAGCCCTTCGTGGCCCCCTCGCTGCCCTTCGTGGCTCCGTTGCAGCCCTTCGTGGCCCCCTCGCTGCCCTTCGTGGCCCCGTTGCAGCCCTTCGTGGCCCCCTCGCTGCCCTTCGCGGTGCCCTTCGTGGCCCCCGCTCGTTCGCGCCCGTCGTGGCTCCATATGCATGCGCTTCGTGGCCCCGTTGCAGCCCTTCGTGGCCCCCTCGCTGCGCTTCGTGGTCCCGTCGTTGCCCTCAGTGGCCCCGTCCTTGCCCTCGGCGGCCCAATCTACGTATGCCCGTCGCGGCCCCCGCTCGTTTGCGCCCGTCGTGGCCCCATATGCAAGCCCTTCGCGGCCCCACTGTCGCCCTTTGTGGCCCCCTCGCCGCCTTACGTGGCCCCGTTGCTATCCTCAGTGGCCCCGTCGTTGCCTTCGGTGGCCACGCATTGTCTGCCTTTCGTGGCCCCCGCTCGTTCGCGCCCTTTGTGGCCCATACGCATGCCCTTCCCGTCCCCGCTGTTGGCCTTCGTGGCCCCCTTGCTGCCCTTCGTGGCCCCTTCACTGCCCTTCGTGGCCCCTCTGTCGCTCTCGCTCACGCTCGCGCTTTTGCTCGTCGTCGTCGTCGTCATTGACGTCGTCGTCGTCGTCGTCGTGGTCGGTCCCCTGTCCGTCCCTCTGGGGTCGGGTTGCCGCCAGTCAGCGTTGCCGCTGGCCAGGCCGACGGTCCGCGGCCGCCCCGCTGCTTGCCGGGGCCCGGCCTGCAGGGAAGAAAGATATACCCCCCAAAGCGGGTACGATCGAAGACAAACCCCCCTCCAGGGGCCCCGGGGCGGAACGTCGGAAGTTAATTCATATCCAGTGTCGATTCGTTGACTGTTTGCCCTCCGGGCGCCCCGGCCGGCTTCCGAGGCCTCACACCGCCTTTTTTTGTGGTTCGAGTTTTGTGGGTTTTACGTATGGGCCCATGGATTGCTCCTCTCCTGTGGCTCGAATCCGATGTCTTGTACGTGTGTAACTTGAGATCGGTACCCTCCTGTGGCTCGAACCCGGTGTGTTTACCGTATGTGCCTATATATTGCCGGTCTCCTGTGGCTGGAAGCCTACGTGTTTTATGTATGTGCCTATCGGCTTATTGAATGGCCATCTTTTGTGGTTCGAGTCTGATGTGCTGTACATGTGTGCCTATAGATTGCCACTATCCAGTGGCTCGAATATTTTGTGCTTTACGTCTGCGTCTATATATTGCCCCGTCTCCTGTGGCTCGAATCCTATGTGTTGTACGTATGTGCATATGTATATTGCCCTTCTCTCGTGGCTCGAATCCACTGTGTTTTACGTCTGTGATTTTACATTGCCCATCCTTTATGGCTCGAATCTTTTATGTTTGTTGCATGTGCGTACATCTAGTCCCTCTCTTGTGGTTCGAGCCCTATTTCTTGACGTGTGTGCCTATATATTGCTCGTTTCCTGTGGCTCGAATCCTGTGTTTTGTGTATGTGCTAATATATTGACCTTAACCTGTGGCTCGAATCCTTTGTGTTTTACGTACGTGCCTACATCTTACCCGTCTCCTGCGGCTCGAATCTTGAGTGCTTTTGCGTGTGTGCCTCAAGATTGCCCTTTTCCTGTGGCTCGACTCTGATGCGTTTCACGTATGTGCTTATCTATTGCCCCTGTCCTGTGACTCGAACCCTACGTGTGTTTACGTGTGTGCCCAGAATTTCCCTTGTCCAGTTGCTCGAATCGTATGTGTTTTCGCGTATGTGTTTATAGATGGCCCATCTCCTAAGGCTTGAAACGTTCGTGCGATTCTGTCCCGCCATGCCGCCCAAACTTTGGGATACATCAGTCGGTGAGCGTTTGGTTTCTCTACGCCATTACGTCGCGATCACCTTGTCGATTACCTCTGTGAGACTGGCAGGTGCGCCGCCGAGCTGTTGGGCGGCATCGCTTGCAAGTGCGGTTTTGAGTTGTGCATCCCGTGCAGCGCCATGATGCAGATGCAAAATGCAAAGTCCGACAGGCAGCCGTTCATGTCTTCGAACGCGGTGCTGCTCAGCCTGTTGCGCCCATGCTCTCGCGACAGCTGTGCTGCTCAGCCTGTTGCGTCCACGCATTCGGGACCGCGGTGTGCCTGGGGCCCGCGGCGCTGCTCAGCCCGCGGCGCGCGTCGCGTTCCGCGCGTGCCGAACGAGAAAGGTTGCCCAGTCGGAGGGCCCAGCCGCGCGCAGTTGCGAGAACCGCCGCTGCGAGATCTGCCTTCTGTGTGCCGCCACATGGGCGCGAAGCGCGCGAAGGGCGCGCCGCGCACAGTGGCGGGGCCGCGAAACGTGTGCGGGATGTGCCGAGCTGGGGGGCGGCGGCGTGCAATTCGTGTCGCTGGGGCCCTTGGAAGAGGCTCCTTGTCTTGCCGCGGAGCGTGCGAGGCGCGTGCCAAAGCGGGGCGGGCGGCGCGCGGACCGCGTCGTTGGGGCCTTGGGCGGAGCTCCCTGCGAGGCCACGAAACGTGTGGGGGGCGTGCCAGAAAAGGGGGGGCGGCGGCGTGCGAATCGTGCCTTGCGGGCTTGCGGTGGAGCTCCCAGATGGGTCCGCGAAGCGTGCGAGGGTGTGCCAAAGTGGAGGGGGGGGTGGCGTGCGAACCGTGCCGCTGGGGTCTTCGGTGTAGCGCTTTGCGAGGCCGTGAAGCGTGTGGGGGTGTGCCAACGTGGGGGCGGGCGGCGTGCGAACCGCGCCGCTCGGGTTTTCAGTGGAGCTCCCTGGGGGGCCGCGAAACGCGTGAGGGATTTGCCGCCTCCGGCGGGGGGCGGCGCGCGAACCGTGCCGCAGGGGCCTTTGGTGGAGCTCCTTACGAGGCCACGAGGCGTGTGAGGGGTTCGCCGAAGTGGTTGCTATGCGGAGGGCAGAGGAAAAGTTGGGAGGAACAGTGAGCAGGAGGAGGAGGAGGAGAGGAGATGAGAAGGAGGACGCTGGGCGCCGTCTCCTCAAAACGAGGACCCGACACCGCAGGACGGTTGGGAGACAAATTACCATATTCGATATTTTTCCCACGGTGTGCTTGCGATCTTCTCCGTGGCTCATGGGGGGTCGTGGAGTTCGTCGTGGCCGTCATCCGCGTCGTCATCGTGGCCCTCGCCGACATTGTCATTTTCGTCGCTGGCATGTGGGGCATGAGGACATCTCCACGCGCTCGCTGCTGTTCGAGTGCTCTGCCCGGGCTTGTTTCTGTCGCGAGGGATCGTGACTTTGGGAGGGGGGCGCGGCGCGTGCAGTTTGTCGCTCGGATGGGGTGGCGGGCCCTTCTTGAAGTGGCCTGCGCTATTCCGCCGACCCCCTCGAAGGAGTGAGTGTTCGCGACGATATTGGAAGTTATCGGGCGGGTTGAGAGCTTTTTGATGCATTTGGGATGTTTCCAGGGGCCTGTTGGAGGGCTCTTGGGGGCATCAGGGAGGCCTCTTGGGCCTGCTTGCGGGCGTTTTTTGGGGCGTTTTGGGGACCCCTTGAGGCCATCTGGGGGGTTTCGGGGGGGCTCTCAGGGCCATCTTGGGGAGAAAGGCTCGCAATATCAATTCGTGCCACTCCCTCTTGGGCTCCATTGTGCTGTCTTGGGAACCCTTGCGGTCGTTTGGGGGCCCTCTTTGACACTTTCGGGGTTCTCTTGGAAGGGCCCTGTTGTGGCGATCTTGGGGGCCCCTTGGGCCGTTCTGGACGCTGTCAGAACGGAAACAGTGTGAGTGTGCTGAACATGTCAATGTTCCCGAACATGAGAAGATGTTTGCCTGTCGGGGCCTTCTCGGCGGTCCTCTGTGATCATTCTTGGACCATCTTGGGGGCCTCGTGGGCCGTTCCGGATCATCTTGGGCCGTCGAGGGAGTGCCCTTGGCCGTCTCGGCGCTGTCTTGGACTATCTTGGCGCTCTGTTTGACCGCGTTTGGGCCGTCTTGGGTCTCCTTGGAGTCCCCGCGAGAGGCTTTGGCGAGCTCGTGGGGGGACTCCCCCCTAGAATGGCATTGTGGACCCCAGGTGAGGGTAAATGGGGATGGGGGACAGCCGAATGTCTCGCGCGCCTTGTTCACCCCGGGCAAGCGATGGTCGGCCGATTAGAATGCAAAAGCCCTACCAGTCAGGCTTTGGCATTCTTGCATGCCTAAGCGTGCACAAGGCCCAGTGGCGGGTGATGATGGGAAGGACGATGATGATTAGTTTGAGGTGCGGTAGGATGAGGATACGGATGGGCAAGAGGAGGAGGCATGATGGATGATGAAGATGATGGTGATGGTGGTGATGATGAAAATGGTGATCGTGATGGTGATGTTAACGGGGATGGTGATGGTGATGGTGAAGGTGATGGGGATGGTGATGGCGATGGTGATGGTGCTGGTGATACTGCTGATGGTGAGTCTGGCGATGATGGTGATTATGACGATGATGATGGTGATGTTGCTGCTGACGATGATTAAGGTGGCAACGTGGACGAGGAGGAGGAGGAGGAGCAGGAGGAAACGGAGGAACAAGATGATAATGATTGATGTGATTCGAATTACATGGTGCTCTTTGTTTGCTCAAGAGTTGTACCGGCCTGTTCTGAAAAAATCGTTCCCGGGTCCGCCGTCTGAAGCATCCTCGGATTATGCGGGCTTGTTGGTCGGTTGGCCGGCGGGATGGTTGGTTGGTTGTCCTGTTTGTTGGTTGATCGGTCGGTTCCTTGGTTGGTTGGTTGGCCGGCGGGTTGGTTGGTTGGTTGGTTGGCCCGTTGGCCTGCTGCTCGGTTGTTTGGTTGTTCGGTTGGTTGGTTGGCTAGTTGTGCGGTTGGTTGGTTGGTTGGCTGGTTGGTTTATTGGCCAGCAGGTTGGTTCGATGGTTTTTTGGTTGGTTTGTTGTCCCGTTGGTCGGTTGATTGGTTGGTGCTGGTTTGTAGGTCGGTGGGTTGGTTGACCTGTTGGTTGTTTTTTTCCCAACCATCCTGTGGTGTTGGGTCCTCGTTTTGAAGAGACGGTGCCCCGCGTTCCTCTCCTTCCTCTCCTCCTCCCTCCTCCCCCTCCTTGCCTCTGCTCTCGGCACACCTCTCACCGCGTTCGTGGCCCCATAGGACTCCACCGAAGGCCCAGGGGGTTCGCATGCGGTTCCCCCACCCAGGGCAGCGTTTCGTAGCCCCATAGGGAGCTCCACCGAAGGCCCCAGTGGGGTGTTGCATGCGGTTCCCCCACCCAGGGCAGCGTTTCGTAGCCCCATAGGGAGCTCCACCGAAGGCCCCAGTGGGGGTGTTCGCATGCGGTTCCCCCACCCAGGGCAGCGTTTCGTGGCCCCATAGGGAGCTCCACCGAAGGCCCCAGTGGGGGTGTTCGCATGCGGTTCCCCCACCCAGGGCAGCGTTTCGTAGCCCCATAGGGAGCTCCACCGAAGGCCCCAGTGGGGGTGTTCGCATGCGGTTCCCCCACCCAGGGCAGCGTTTCGTGGCCCCATAGGGAGCTCCACCGAAGGCCCCAGTGGGGGTGTTCGCATGCGGTTCCCCCACCCAGGGCAGCGTTTCGTGGCCCCATAGGGAGCTCCACCGAAGGCCCCAGTGGGGGAGTTCGCATGCGGTTCCCCCACCCAGGGCAGCGTTTCGTGGCCCCATAGGGAGCTCCACCGAAGGCCCCAGTGGGGGTGTTCGCATGCGTTTCCCCCACCCAGGGCAGCGTTTCGTAGCCCCATAGGGAGCTCCACCGAAGGCCCCAGTGGGGGTGTTCGCATGCGGTTCCCCCACCCAGGGCAGCGTTTCGTGGCCCCATAGGGAGCTCCACCGAAGGCCCCAAGTGGGGGTGTTCGCATGCGGTTCCCCCACCCAGGGCAGCGCTTCGTAGCCCCATAGGGAGCTCCACCGAAGGCCCCAGTGGGGGTGTTCGCATGCGGTTCCCCCACCCAGGGCAGCGTTTCGTGGCCCCATAGGGAGCTCCACCGAGGGCCCCAGTGGGGGTGTTCGCATGCGGTTCCCCCACCCAGGGCAGCGTTTCGTGGCCCCATAGGGAGCTCCACCGAAGGCCCCAGTGGGGGTGTTCGCATGCGGTTCCCCACCCAGGGCAGCGTTTCGTGGCCCCATAGGGAGCTCCACCGAAGGCCCCAGTGGGGGTGTTCGCATGCGGTTCCCCCACCCAGGGCAGCGTTTCGTAGCCCCATAGGGAGCTCCACCGAAGGCCCCAGTGGGGGTGTCCACATGCGGTTCCCCCCCCCAGGGCAGCGTTTCGTAGCCCCATAGGGAGCTCCACCGAAGGGGGCCCCAGTCCCAGTGGGGGTGTTCGACATTTCGGCACACCCCTACACGTTCGTGGTCCATAGGGAGCTCACCGAATGCCCATGGTTTCGTTCGCATGCCACCCCACCACCCATTTGGCACACCCTAACCTTTCGTGGCCCCATCGGGAGCTCCACCGAGGCCCCACTGGCCTGCGTTCGCATGGCCTCCCCACCACCCATTTCGGCACCACCCCTCACAAGTTTCGTGGCCCCATAGGGAGCTCCACCGAAGGCCCCAGTGGCTGGTTCGCATGCCTCCCCACCACCCATTTCGGCACACCCCTCACACGTTTCGTGGCCCCATAGGGAGCTCCACCGAAGGCCCCAGTGGCTGCGTTCGCATGCCTCCCACCACCCATTTCGGCACACCCCTCACACGTTTCGTGGCCCCATAGGGAGCTCCACCGAAGGCCCCAGTGGCCGCGTCCACATGGCGGCGCCGCACCCATTTCGGCACACCCCTCCCACGTTTCGTGGCCCCATAGGGAGCTCCACCGAAGGCCCCAGTGGCTGCGTCCGCATGGCGGCGCCGCACCCATTTCGGCACACCCCTCACACGTTTCGTGGCCCCATATAGGGGAGCACGGAGCCCCACCGAATGGCACCCCAGTGGCTGCGTTCCTCCCCACCACCCCCACGGCACACCCCTCACACGCTTCGTGGCCCCATAGGGAGCTCCACCGAAGGCCCCAGTGGCTGCGTTCGCATGCCTCCCCACCACCCATTTCGGCACACCCCTCACACGTTTCGTGGCCCCATAGGGAGCTCCACCGAAGGCCCCAGTGGCAGGGTCCGCATGCCTCCCCACCACCCATTTCGGCACACCCCTCGCACGCTTCGTGGCCCCATAGGGAGCTCCACCGAAGGCCCCAGTGGCTGCGTTTCGCATGCCTTCCCACCAACCATTTCGGCCACCCCCTCACACGTTCCCCATATGCCTCCCCACCACCCATTCGGCACACCCTCACACTTTCGTGCCCCATTGGGGACTCCATCCGCCCCAGTTTCGTGTAGGGAGCTGCCCCAGTAGGGTTCGCATGCCTCCCCACCACCCATTTCGGCACACCCCTCACACGTTTCGTGGCCCCATAGGGAGCTCCACCGAAGGCCCCAGTGGCAGGGTTCGCATGCCTCCCCACCACCCATTTCGGCACACCCCTCACACGTTTCGTGGCCCCATAGGGAGCTCCACCGAAGGCCCCAGTGGCAGGGTTCGCATGCCTCCCCACCACCCATTTCGGCACACCCCTCACACGTTTCGTGGCCCCATAGGGAGCTCCACCGAAGGCCCCAGTGGCAGGGTTCGCATGCCTCCCCACCACCCATTTCGGCACTCCCCAACACCCATTTCGGCACACCCCTCACACGTTTCGTGGCCCCATAGGGATCTCCACCGAAGGTCGGGGGGAGCTTGACACTGGTATCCTTGCGGTATTCGCAGCTGCATATGGTTGGGTCCTTCGCCAGGCTAATTTTGGTTGATCGGTTGGTTGGCTGGCTTGTCGGTCGGTTGGTTGGTCGGTTGGTTGGTTGATTGACCCGTTTCCAGATTTTCCAGGTCGCAGTTTTGGTTAGTTGGTAGCTTGAACGGTTACCAAGTCGAACGGCCGGTTGGTCGGTTCGTCGGTTGGTTGGTCATTTGGTTGAACGTAGCACCCAGCAGTCGCGGATAAGAGTGAGTGCGCTGCGGAGACGTCGGCAGTATGCGAGGCTCTGAAGAAGCCTACTATATTGAATTTTGGTTTAAATATATGCATCAAACAAATTTTGCAACGGGCCCGCCGCAGGCGCCGATTCTTAGTTAAAGCAATGTGGGTGGGTCGCGGGGTGGGTCGCGTGTGGGTCGCGGATGGGTCGTGGGTGGGTCGCGGGGTGGGTCGCGGGTGGGTCGCGGGTGGGTCGCGGGTGGTTCGCGGGTTGGTCGCGGGCGGGTCGCGGGGTGGTCGCGGGGTTGGTCTCGGGTGGGTCGCCTGTGGGTCGCGGGTGGGTTGCGGGTGGATCGCGGGTGCGTCGCGGGCCTGGTCGCCAGTGGGTCGCGGATGGGTCACGGGCTGGGTCGCGGGTGGGGGACAACAACAACAACAACAGCTTGTTTCAACAACAACAACAATGATCCGCACCGCGGAACTGCACTTCAGCCACGCGCCCAGGGACTGTGAATGACCATTTGGCCCACTCACTCTGATTCCTCTCGCTTCGCGGGGTGCACGTCCGGAGCACGTACAGTCACGTCGTCGCGGAGCCTCTTGAGAGCCTCTTGGGGGCCTCCTGGAGGCCTCCTGGGAGCTTCCTTGGGCCTCTTGGGGACTTTTTTGGGGCCTCTCCCCCCTCACTCCTTTTCATACTCCCTCCCCATATTTCTTTCCAGCGCCGGCTCTAATCATGGGCGCCGCTGTGACCAACTTCCACCTGGCTGGCGCTGCGCCGCAGTTCGCGCAGGGTGGAAAAATGATATTGCACTCCAGTCGCTGTGTGTTCTTTGGGGGGTTTCTTTGGAGCCTTTGGGAGGCTTCTTGAGGACATCTTGGAGGCCTCTTCGGTTTTTTTTGGGGCCCCTTGGGGGCCTCTTGGGTGCCTCTTGGGGCCTCTTGGGGGCGCCTTTGGCCGTATTGGGGCGCTTTTGCGCCGTTTCGCCAATTCGGAGGCCGTCTTGGGGGCCTCTCGCGGCCGCCTTGGGGCCGTCTTGGGGTCTTCTTGGGCCGTCATAGGGGCCTCTTGGACCGTCTTGGGGGCCTCTTTGGGCCGTTTTGGGGTTCTGTTGGGCAGTATTGGGGCCCTTTTGGGGGCTTCTTGGGTTGTTCAGGAGCGAGTTGGGAAGCTGCCTGGGCCGCAAAGGCGAGAACGTTAAAATCTTACCAAACCAAAAGGAAATCAAGGATTTTGGCTTCTGGAGGCGCAGTTGTGGGCGCTCTTGGGGCCCTCTTGGGCCGTCAGTGGGGCTTTTTGGGCCCTCTTGGGGCCGTCTTGGACCGTCTCGGGGCTGTTTTGGTCCGCGCAGAGCCCATCTGGAGCCGTCTTGGCACCCTTTTGGCCCTTCAAGAAGCCCAAGAAATCGAAATCATGGATTTTCTATAGGTTTTGGTAGGTTTTTGAGCCCCGGGAGGGGGGGGGGGGGGGAGGGCACTTTGGTCTGCTCCTGTGGCGCAGCTCTCAGAGGGGGGGTTAGGGGGGAGACATAATTAATAATGTAACACAATGCAATATGTGGCAATTATGCAATCATTGGATACATAGGGTACGTTGCATTTTCGCCTCCGCAAAAAACTCTGCAGGGTGTTTCAGAGCACGTTCAGTCCAGTCGTTGTGGGGCCTCCTGGGGGTCTCTTGGGAGCTTTTTGGAAGCTTCTTAGGGTTTTTTTTGAGCCTCTGGGGGGCCTCTTTGGAGCCTCTTGGGGCTTCTTGGGGACGTCTTGGGCCGTCTTTGGGCGCTCTTACGCCGTCTGGCCACTTCAGAGGCCACTTTGGAAGCCTCTCGCGGCCGCCTTGGGGCTCTCTTGGGGTCCTCTGGGGCCGTATCGGGTCTTTTTTTGTTTTTTTTGGCCGTCTCGGGGCCCTCTTGGGCCGTGTTGGGGCCCCCTTGGAGGCCTCTTGGGCTGTTTGGGAGCCTTTTTGGAGGCTGCTTGGGCCGTCATGGCCTTCTGAGAGCCGAAAAAGGCGAAAACGTTGAAAGTGTCCCAAAACTACAGGAGAATCGAAGATTTTGGCCTCTGGAGGCGCTCTCGGGAGTCTTCTTGGGGGCCTCTTGGATTTTTTTTTGGGCTTCATGGGCCCTCTTGGGGCCATCGTGGGCCGTCTTGAGGCCGTCTTGGGCTGTCTTGGGGCCATCTTGGGCCGTCTTGCATTTTTCTTGGGGCCCCAAGAGGCCCAAGAGGCCGAATTTGTTGATTTCTCATCGGTTTTTGATGTTTTTGAAGCCCAGAAGGGGTCCGCCACCTTTGGGTCGACGGAAGTGGCGTGGCCCCTGGGGGGGGGTTAGGGGTGGAGACATAATAATGTAACACAATACAACACGTTGCAATTATGCAATCATTGGACACATTGGATACGTTGCATTATCGCCTCCGCAGAAAACGCTGCCGCTCAGCACGTCGCCTCCGGACGTGGATTCTATAGGCTTACGCCACATCCGCCGACCCCTCTATAAACTACTGCGCGTCCAGGACTGCATTCCACGAGGCTTTTCCAATTCCTGGGAGGTTCTTGTGGTCGTTTGGGGGCTCAGTTCGGGCTCCCTGGGGGCTTCTTGGGACTTCGTTTTCCCAAGGGAATGGGGACATTTTCACTTCTTCGGTGCCTTTTGGGAGTCCTCTTGGAGGCCTCTTTGGGCTTTTTGGAGGCGTCTTGGGCCGTCTGGATGCCATCCTGGGCGTCTTGGAGCGATCATTCGACGATTCGGGGCCCTCTTGAATCGTCTTGGGGCCCACTTGGGGCCCCCTTGGCCCGTTTTTGGGGCCCTCTGGCTCCCATGACGCGTTCGTCCGGGGCTGGGGGGGCGGTCAAATCTCCAGTTTGGGGTTCTTGGGGGGGGGTTATGGGGGGGAACAATCTCACACGCCTAGAGACCCACAAGGGGTCGGCGGATTACTTCGCCAATTGGAAGGTTCTTCGTGTGACCAGTGAGTTGACAGGTCGGTTCAATGGTCATTGGTCGCGAACTGGATGGCTCTGCTGGTTCATCGCCCGCTTGGTTGATTGGTTCGGAATTCGGTTGCCCAGCTAGTTTGTGGGATGCTTGACTTGTTGATTGGGTGGTTGCTTTGTTTTGCTGTCGTTGTTCTCCTGTGCTCCTCTCTCTTCTCGATCTCCTCTCCGCAATGGGACCAGCCCTTCCAGAACCCATGTCCAGGCAGCTCGTTGTCGGGAACACAGAGTCAGAGAAACACACTGTAGTGGCCTCCGGCCAGTGCCGCCGATCCGGGACGCTCCGGATGATGATGATGATGATGATGATGATGATGATGATGATGGTGGTGGTGGTGGTGGTGGTGATGATGATGATGATGATGCTGATGCTGATGCTGATGCTGATGCTGATGATGATGATGATGATGATGATGATGGTGATGATGATGATGATGATGATGATGATGATGATGATGATGATGATGATGGTGATGATGGTGATGTGACGATGGCGATGGTGATGGTGATGGAGATGGTGATGATCCCAGCCCCCCCTCCCCACCTCCCCTCCTCTCTCCTGTCCCCCTCCCCCTCTCTCCTGTCCCCCTTCTCCTTCTCTCTCCTTTCCATCCACCCCCTCTCTCTCCTGTTCCCCCCCCCTTCCCTTCCTGTCCCCCCCCATCCCCCCCCTCTCTCCTGTCCCCCCCCCTCCCACCTCCTGTTCTGTATGCCCACCTCCTTTCCCCCTCCCCGCCTTCTCGCTCTCCTTTGTCCCCCCCCGCCATCTCTCTTTCCCCCCCCTAACCCCTCTCTCTGTCCCCCACCCCCCCCTCTGCCTGTCCCCTCCACCCCCCCATCACTCCCTTCCCCACTACCCCCCCCCGACACCCTCTCTCCTGCTCCCCCCCCCCTCCTCTCTCCTATCCCCCCCCCCCGCCGCCTCCACCCATCACCCCCAGTCTCACGCCCCGCCTTTCCTTTTTCTTCTTTCCCCCCCCCCCTCCATCCTGAACCCCCCCCCCCTACCACTCCCCTCCCCCTGTCTTCCTGCACCCCCCCCCTCTTCTCCTTTCCCCCCCCCCCTCGCGTGTCAATTTCTTCGTCGTTGGCGTCCCCCCCCCTTGCAGAGCGAAGCTTGAGAGCGAGCCCCCCCCCCTCTCTCCTTCCCCCCCCCCCCTCGCGTGTCAATTCTTTTCGTCGGTTTTCGTCGTTTGCGTCCCCCCCGACCCCACCCCTCCAGAGCGAAGCCCACGCTCTCAGAAACTCACACGCCAAATCGGCGGATTGTGGAGCAGGGGGCCGGCAGTGCTGATCTTAAAGACCCCTGAAGAATGGAGGATGAGGATGTGGATGATGATGAGCCTGAGGAGGCTGAGCTACAGTTAGAGGTCACGTATTATTGAAGACGCCTGCTGCGAGTCACTGCAGCCCACTGCTTTTTGGACACGTGTGACAGTGTGGCCACGCTAGCAGACTGCGTGTTCCTCCAGCTGCTGGGACAAAGTGGTTGGGGGAACATCGGGGAGGCGCTTTCTGTAGCCGCTGTTGAAGGACCTGCTTTTGGGCGTCTTCTGATGGGCTGGCGGGCACGGCCGAAAACCACCGTGAACCTTTTGGAAGGGCCCATAGGGAATTCACAGTTCGGCGCGCCAGCCACCATCCAGCAGGCCACGGGAGCGACGGATGTAGTGTCCTTCGGCCCATCCGCCACCGCGTTTGGCTGCCTCCTGTGGCTCTTCAAGAGCACCTTCGATAGCCAATACGGATAACTTGGCATCTGAGGACACTCGACTCGGTGCCTCGCGGCACGGTGTCGGATGAGGATAGATGCGCTGCTGGGCATGGCCGTTGCACTCTGGGGGCATCGGCACGAGCTGGACCATAGTGGGGGGAGGTGAAGAAGCTCAAGACCGCAGACGCCAAGCACGCGAAAGCAAAGTTCCTGCACGACATCATCAGGGGCATGCAGGCCCTGCTCCACCTCATCTCCTCTTCCTTCCTTCCGTTCTCCGTCTCCTCCTCATGCTTCTCCTTCTCCTCCTCCTCGTGTCTTCTCCGTCATTGCCTCCTCGTCCTCCTCCTCCTCCTCCTCCGCCATCCCCCGCCTCCTTCTCCTCTCTTTCTCTCTCCTGCGATTCGACCTCCACGACACCACCATGGGCGTAAAGACCCTGACTTGTTTCCGACGGGGGTATTCAGGTTTATTGTTGGGAACGGTGGTGATTGGGGCGCAGTGCCCCGCTGCGCTGACCACACGTCTCGAACCAGGCCCGCCTGGTGGATTCTTGCTCCAGGAGGGGCAACATGGGGAGAATAATGATGCTGCTGATGATGATGCTGCTGCTGATGATGATGATGAGGATACTGCTTACGATGATTGTGAACATGATGCAGATGATCGGAACAATAAGATGATGATGATAATGCTGATGCTTGTGCTGATGAGTGTGGTGATGGTGCTGCTGTTGCTGATGATGATGGTTGTGGTGCTGTTGTTGATGACGATGATGATGATGCTGATGATGATGATGGTGGTGATTATTATGCTGATGATGATGATGCTGATGACGATGATGATGATGATGATGCTGATGATGATGATGATGATGATGTTGTTGTTGTTCATGATGCTGCTGATGATGATGATGATGATGCTGCTGACGTTGTTATTGATGATGCTGATGCTGATGCTGATGATGATGCTGACGAGGATGACGATCGTGCGATGACGATACCGACGATGACGACGATGCTGATGCTAACAATGATGATGATGACGATGATGATGATGATGATGATGATGATGATGATGATAATGATGATGATGATGATGATGATGATGCTGATGCTGATGCTGATGCTGATGATGATGATGCTGAGTATCATGATGTTGATGATGCTGATGATGCTGGTGATGCTGATGATGCTGAGGATGATGTTGATGATGCCGATGCTGACGATGATGCTGATGATGATGCTGATGCTGATGATGCTGATGTTGATTAATGACGATGCTGATTCTGATGGTTATGATGAGGATGATGCTGATGATGATGTTGCTGATGCTTACACTGATGATACTGCTGCTGATAATGCTGATGCTGATGCTGCTGATGATGATGATGACGATGACGAGGCTGATGACGATGACCATGATGCTGCTGATGATGATGATGAGGAGGAGGAGGAGGAGGACGAGGATGAGGATGATGATTACGATGATGATGCTGCTGCTGCTGCTGATGCTGATGCTGATGCTGATGCTGATGATGACGATGCTGCTGATAATGTTGATGATGGCGATGATGCAGATGATGCTGACGATACTGATGATGATGGAATACTGGCGACGATGAGTATCATGCTGCTGCTGCCGATTATGGGGCTGATGATGCTGATGATGCATATGATACTGGTAATGATCACGATGCTTATGATGATGATAAGGCTGATGATGCTGATGCTGACTATGATGATGATGATGATGCTGATGACGATGATGATGGTGATGCTGATGCTGATGATGATGATGCTGATGATGATGACGATGATGGTGATGATACGTATGACGATGGCGAGGACGAGGCTGACGATGAAGATGATGGCGATGATGATGGTGGTGGTGATGATGACGACGGTGTCTATGGTGATGTTGTTGATGCTGATATTGATGCTGATGCTGATGAGGAATATGATGGTGACGATGATGCTGATGCTGATGATGCTGATGAGGATGATGATGTTGATACTGATGATGAGGATACTGCATGTAATGGTGATGCTGGTATGATGATGAGATGATTATGACGATGACACTGATGATGATGATGATGCTGCGGATAATGACGATGCTGCTGCTGATAACGAAGATGATGACGATGATGAGGATGATGAGGATGATGATGATAATGCTGCTGATGATGCTGATGCTGATGCTGATGCAGATGATGCTGAGGATGCTGATGATGATGCTGATGATGCTGATGATGAGGATGAGGAGGAGGATGAGGATGATGAGGACGATGAGGATGATGAGGATGATAATGATGATGATGATGACGATAACGACGACAATGACGATGACGATGATGGGGGAGGAGGATGTGGAGGAGGATGATGAGGTGGACGACCACAAGGATGAGGTGGAGGAGGAGGAGGAGGAATGAGAAGGAGGAGAAGGAGGACGAGTACGAGGAGGAGGAGGACGAGGAGGAGGAGGAGGAGGAGGAGGATGAGGACGAGAGGTGGTGCCGTTGAACTCTGCCTTCGAGGGTTTTGTCTTTTTGCCGATTCCCCCATCCAAGGCACGAGCAAACAGTGCCCCCGTGGCGAGCCCCAAACATGTTACATGGCTTGGTGTTCGACCCCCTCTCTGCTGTTTCCGTCCTCTGTCCTCCTCTTCCTATCCTCCTCTTCCTCTTCCCCTCTCCCCTCCTTCCCCTCTCCTCCCACTCACCCTCGACCCTCGCCCTCTCCTCCTGTTAACTCTCCTCCTCTTCTCCTCTCCCATCCTCCCTCGTCCGTACCGTCCTACTCCTTCCCCCCGTCCTCCTCCTCCTCCTTTTCCTCGTCCCCCTCTTTCTCTCCTCTGCCCACTTTCTCCATTCCCTTCCCTCCTCCTTCTTCTCCCATTCATCCTCTCGCGTTGCGGTCGTCGTCGTCGCCCTCCCCCTCTGCCTCTTCCTCCTCCCCCTCCTCCCTCCTTGCCTCTCCTTCCGCTTTCACGCTCCTCCCCCTTCCCCTTACCTTTTCCTTCTTCTTTCTCTCCTCCCTTCATCCGCCATCTTGTCATCTCCTTCCTCTCAGTTTTTTGCGTCGTCGTCGTTGTCGTTGTCGTCGTCGTCGTCGTCGTCGTCGTCGTCGTCGTCGTCCCACTTCTCCTCGTCGTTGCCCTCTTTCTCCGACCACTGGAAGGCGGAAGGAGCGGGGGTGGCTGATTGGAGTAATCGGGACACGCATACAAACAGGTAGTTAGCGGAGATATATACCCAAATCAGAGCTTGCCTCTGTAGGGGTCCTAGCGGATTCATTCCCCAATCAGAGCTTGCCTCTGTAGGGGTCCTAGCGGATTCATATGGCTAGGTGAGGTTTGCCACCAGTTTCCGCGGCCCGCCTGGGTGCCCGGGTGCCCGGGTGCCTTGGTGTCTGGATGGCTGGGTGGCCCGGGTGCCCAGGTGCCCGGGTGCCCGGGTGCCCGGGTGTTTATAGCCTTATAGCCCGACAGCCCTGTAGCCTTATAGCCTGTTAGCCCTATAGCCTTATAGCCTTAGAGCCCCATAGCCCACTAGCTCTATCGCCCTTTAGCCCGATAGCCCTATAGCCCTATAGCCCCATAGCCTTATAGCCTTATAGCCCTGTAGCCCTATCGCCCTAGAGCCCTATAGTTCTATAGACCTATAGCTCTATAACCTTAATAACCCAATAGCCCCACAGCCCTATAGCCCCGAAAAGACAGTTTGTTTTTTCTTTGGTATCATGTGGTTAGGTGAGCTTTGCCGCCGATTCCCGCGGCCCGCCCGGGTGCCCTGGTGCCCAGGTGCCCAGGGTGCCTTGTAGCCCTATAGCCCTATAGCCCCATAGCCCAATTGCCCTATAGCCCTATCGCCCTATAGCCTTATAGCCTTGTAGCCTTATTGCCCTATAGCACTATCGTCCTAGAGCCCTATCGCTCTATAGCCCGGGTGCCCAGGTGCCTTATAGCCCAATAGTCCTACAGCCCTAAAGCCCTATAGCCCTAAAGCCCTAAAGCCCTATAGCCCTATATCCCTATTGCCCTAGAGCCCTATAGCTCTATAGCCCTATAGCTCTACAGCCCAATAGCCAAATAGCCGGGTATCCCTATAGCCCTATAGTCTTATAGCCCTATAGCCCTAAAGCCCTACACCCCGATAGGCCTAGAGCTCTACATGCCTATAGCCCTATAGCCCTATAGCCCTACAGACCCATAACCCTACATCCCTATAGCCCTACAGCCCTATGGTCCCATAGCCCTATAGCCACATAGCCCTATAGACTCATAGCCCTATGGCCCTGTTGCCCTGTAGCCCCATAGCCCCAGAGCCTCAAGCCCTAGAGCCCTATAGCCCTATAGACCTGTAGCCCTATAGTCTGATAACCCCATAGCCTCATAACCCAATAGCCCTATAGTCCAAAAATTCTTTGGCCCTATAGCCCTATAGCCTTATAGCTTCATAGCCTTATAGCCTGATAGCCCTATAGCCCTATCGCCCTAGAGCCCTAGAGCCCTACAGCCCTATTGCCCTACAGCCCTATTGCCCTACAGCCCTTTAGCTCTATAGCCCGATAGCCCTATATCCCGATAGCCCCATAGTCTCATATAACAATAGCCTTCTTGTCCTATAGCCCCATGGCCCTATAGCCCTCTTGCCTTATAGCCTCATAGCTTTATAGCCTGATAGACCTACAGCCCTATCGCCCTAGAGCCCTCTGGCTATGTAGCCCTACAGCCCTATAGCCCCAGAGCCCTATAGCCAGCCCTATAGCCCTATAGCCTGATAGCCCTATAGTCCCATAGCCCCCTAGAACACTAGCCCCATAGTGTCCAATAGCCCTATGGCCCTATAGCCCAATAGCCTTATAGCCTCATAGCCTTATAGCCTGATAACCCTATAGCCCTCTGTGCCCAGGTGCCCAGGTGTCCGGGTGCCCAGGTGCATTGTAACCCTATAGCCCTTATAACCCTATAGCCATATAGCCCTATAGCCCTATAGCCACATAGCTCTATAGCCTGATAGCCCTATAGCCCTATAGCCCTATAATCCAATAGTCCTATAGTCCAATAGCCCTAAGGCCCTATAGCCCTATAGCCTTATAGCCTCATAGCCTTATAGCCTGATAACCCTATAGCCCTGTTGCCCTAGAGCCCTATAGCTCTTTAGCTCGACAGCTTTATAGCACTATAGCCCTATAGCCCTATAGCCCTAGAGCCCAATAGCCCAATAGAACCAT